TAATAAAACATATAACCCACTTCTGGAGTACTCCGGAGTGGGTTATATGTTTTACTATTGACTGGAGTGCTCCATTAGCAACCCTAACTGCAGTACACTATTAAATAGGTTTCTTTATATCAAAGCCATGCTTAGAGTGCTATATATACTGTATATTTTATATACAGTACTTTGCATAGCTTTGTTGTAAAAGAACTCAATATAATTTACAAAATTTAATTCTGGTCAATTATTGGAACTAGTACCATGCTTATTCGAATTTTTATCATTACTGTATATATTTATTAAATATCACATTTAATATTGTAATAGATCTAAATATTAAAATATTAATGTGATAAATTCGAATTATTAAACCCAGTTTCCGAGATTTCTAGTGGGCAACCCAAAAATTTGGGATTACTGTAATCATGTACAAATAAAGAATAATACATATGCAATGATGCATAAATTCACATGAAATTCCTGTAGTCGAGAAATTTTTTCGATCGAAAATTTTACTATAAAAGGGAGTCACCAAAATTTATACTTCGTTATCAATCAGATTGGATCATTATGTTGGTTAGTATTTTTCCTCTATAAAGTTCCAAGATGTTGTTATTTATTCTCTTTTTTTATTATAATTTCTAAAAAAAATTCTTTATAATTTTATAGAATCGATTGATAAGCGTTTTAGCTTTAATAGTTTCTACAACCTTCTATTGGATCTATCGAGTGTCTTCTCCTTTATTAAGGGTGCGTAATTAAATTTCAATGCTTGTAATTGATATCAAAATTTTCTTAAATTTAAATTTTTATAGAGATTAAGAAATAAAAAAACTCCGGTAGAAAAACTTAAAGATGAGCTTGTAGTAGCACGAAATTATGAGGAATGGATTAAAAAGGCGCAAGAAATAGATATGTAAGTATATGACATACTTATTTTTTTTCATTTTTTATTTTTCCTTCACACATAATATATACCCTCAATGTATATCGATTATAATTTCTATTTGTTATTTCTTTCCTACAAGTCTTTTAGGTATATATTTAATAGCGTGAAGTTTTTTTCTTTAAATTTCATCAATGTTTAAGTATACAGCATGTTTAATAAATGAAATTTTTTATTAGACAATGATAAATGGAAATTGGATCCCGCATCTCCGTATTATGACTATAATCTTATTCAGTACCGATTAGGTCATCTTAAACAAGTTAGGGAAGGGAATGATGTTTCATCTATGATTCATATGTTAAGAGCAGGTTCATAAGTTGCATTATTTTATACTTAAAATACTTAAAATAATTAAATACTTTAATTAAGCGTTTTATCAAATGTTCACAAACTGTTTCATGAAATTCAGGCCTTTTACGTAACTTGGGCGGTTTGAATGACCCTCGATTGTTCAGTCAATCATATTTAGGGTAAGTTTATATTAGTAAACATTGATTTTTCAATTTATATATTTTCAAATACCTATTATAATAAATTTTATAGAACAAAGAAGTTAATCGAAGATTATACACAAGAGGTTGCAACTCAACTCGATTATATTAGGCAGTCAAATTTTTCAGATGTTCCTCAGACTTCTAAGATCGATTTCTTTAATGATACTCGTCAAAGTTTTGGCTGTTCTGCTTTAGTCCTTTACGGTGGAGCAACTTTTGGTAATATCATAATGCTTATATATTTTTAATTTTCTTTCCTGAAAAGTTTAGAATGATTTCGAAAATCAATTTATAGGACTATATCATCTTGGGGTTGTGAAAGCACTTCATGAAAATGGATTGTTGCCAAGGGTCATTAGTGGAACTGCAGTTGGTGCTTTTATAGCTGCTCTCGTGTGCATTCATACTGATGAAGAATTACCAGTAAGAAAATTCCTTGCGTATCGTAAAAATAGTAATTTGTTAACAAAATTTACTTAATTATTATCAGAAAATCTTTCAACCTGGTGGAGTTGATCTGGAAGCTTTTAGTAAAGTTGGAAGTAAAGGCAATGTTCACAGAAAAGTCTCTCGATTACTTAAGCACGGTAAATTCGATTTTTGTTAATTAAATGTTGGAATTTTATAATAATAACAAATTTATGCTTTTTTTTTTTTATCAAGGTTATTTATTGGATATCAAGGTTTTAGAAGATTGTGTTCTTAAAAATGTTGGAGATTTAACCTTTGAGGTAAATTATCAAAAGTAAACGATTTATAAAAGTTAAGTACATAATAATAAATATTAATAAATATTAATATAAATTTATAGGAAGCATACGCGAAATCAAAACGAATTCTTAACATTACAGTTTCATCCACAAGGAAATTTGAGGTGCCCCAATTGCTAAATTATTTGACCGCACCCAACGTTGTAAGTATTTGTAAAATAGTTTAATATTGTTCTGTATGTGTGGCACATGTATTAAAAGAGACAAAATCAATAACTTAGTTAATATCAAGTGCGGCTTGTGCTTCAGTTGCCATCATGGGTCTCTACGATAAGTATGATTTGATGGCAAAGGATAAAAATGGAAAAAAAATCCCATGGGCAACAGGTATATAAACTTTGATTATTATGATTATAATAAATAAGTAAATTTATCAAATCTATCGGGAACTTAATATTTATGTCTTTATATAGATGTCAAATTTAAGAAGTGGACAGATGCGGTTCCATCGGAAAGGTATGAGTCAATTATAATTTACTCATTTTTAATTTAAAATTTCAATATATTAATTAATAAATTCATGGATTATTATACATGTTGTTTTTTTTATATGATCAATATGGATTAGTGAATCTCCGCTAGCAAGGCTTTCAGAATTATTTAATGTTAACCATTTTATTGTATCTCAAGCAAATCCTTTTATTGTTCCATTCATGTCCCGAGAACAAACAACGCGATCTAGTTTTTTGGTTAAATGTGGATATTTTTTATCAACTGAAATTAAACACCGAATATTCCAGGTTAATATTTTTATTTGACATATGATTTTTATGAACATGTTATAATATAAATGAGTTCTACAACTAATATTTTGACTTTAATTAACAGCTTGAACAACTACGAATTCTACCACGAAGACTTCGTGGAATTGTTGATGAAAAAGTATCAGGGGATGTCACTATCGTACCTTCTATTTCCTTTTCTGTGAGTATTCAACATAACATTATTAACACTTTGATGGAGTAAACCTTTACTAAATATATAAATATATATAGGATTTTAAAACCTTGTTTTCTAGTCCAACACACGAATCATTGGATTATTGGATACTAAAGGGAGAACAGTCTACATGGCCTTTATTAGCATTAATAAAGAATCGATGTATTATAGAGATGGTTCTCGATAAAGGTATTTCCCAATCAATATTTTTTCTCTGATATATGTAATGAATTAATACTATACTTAATTCATATATACATAACTCAATTGCTAGCTTATTTAACTTTGAAAGCAAATCCAATTGAACGAAGTAGTTACTATCCCAATGCTAAAAATAATGGAGCACGAAAACGTACTAAATCTCTTGCTTGAAAACCGTTTAAAGAGGTGTTTGATATAAAATAATATAACCACAGTAAATTAAATACAATGTGAGTTTTTAATAACGATGTACGTACGCGTTTTAAAGTTGTTATATATAATAAATTAGGATTATATTGTTTATAGTTGCTACGTATCTATATATTAAAATTTCTGGGATTATTGCAAGCCATTGAACTGATTTACATGGTGGCGATCTTATGTCATATGAGAATATACGACTAGCCTATACCGTATATTATAATATTTTTGTTTTTAACGACATATATATTATATATCATTTATTCAGTCCGATGAGCAATAAATTAAACCAAGATGACAGGTTTTCTTTTGCGCTACCTATTTCTTATTATATAGCCCGTCATTAATGACGGGCCTAACACATTTGTATTAGTCAAAAAAAAAACGTAATTCAAAAAAAAAAAAAAAGACGTTTATCATCATCCCCAAATGTTTTTAATCTTCTTTTTCAGAGTAACTCTGTCAGTCACTTTAGCAATTTTAACTTCTGCTTTTTCTATATTCATCAAAGCTCTACTCAACCCTTTTTTTTGACGTCGCTTTGCTTTAGCTGTAAGATGTTTGCTTGATGTTTTCTTTTTAATTTTGCGCAAAATAGTGTCTGCACCGAGAATCTTGCGCGAAAGACGGGCTTGTGGGGAAACGAGCGGTTGTGATGAGATGGGATGGTCTTTTTTTTTGAAGAATAATTAGTTATCACGATAATGTTGAACAAATTTTGAAAAAAAAAAGAAGTCTGTGCAGTAACTATAAATTACCTTGTGAAGTTGGATTAATTTGAAACGACCAAGAATCTACTTCATCATTGTTAGTTGTTAACGGTTTATCAATTTGCATTTTATTTCGTTCTTTAATTTTATTGATTTTTTTTTAGCAGTTAGTGAATTTAATTAAAATTTTTTAACATTACTGCTTTGTCATTATTAAAAATATTTACATACTTGGTTTACCCATCTTTTTGTGTAGTTAACAATGGATATTTAGAAAAGCTGTAACTTGTAATTTCAAATTTTTTTTAACGCTAAAAATGCTAAAAATAATCACTACGCGAAAAATTTATGACAGTTCTGCAGTTTTGAAGGAAAAGTTGTGAGAATAAATAAGAAATATTCTTAAATTTATATGATTTATTTTTCCGAATATAAACAGAAAATAAAGTTAACATTTGATCATATTGTAAATAATTAAAATGATTGGTGCAAATTTTAAAAGGATTCGCATTGTCCGAACCATTCCGGAATAAGCAATCTTTCTATTCTCGGTTTATCAAGAGCACACTTATTGTATATAGCATATTGCTTTGTCTATTATATGCATATAGAACAAAAAAACTAGCATTGAAGCATGTATGACACCATTAACCATTCAATAGTGCCCCTTCGAAAGGTTTGCACAATGATAGGAATAATATTATTGAAAAAAATTCTTTCGTTATTTAGGACGCGTAAGACGTACTTAAAAATGCTCCTTCTCATTTCTGGTACTGGTTCTCTCTAAACTATTGTAACTCGTGTACAGTATTAGATTTTTTTTTTTTTACACTATACTTGTGTCCGTGCGTTAATGTTTTCCTATTTCCCACACATATAATAGGGGGTAGGTTAATTTGTGGGAACTGATCGTTCTAACCAATGAGCATCATGATACGTAAGACTTTTAAGAATATTTTATCAAAAATGTAAATTGTGTTTTGGTCATCATACATATATATATATCGAATTCTTGGAATAATCTATTCAACAATCTTGTTTATAATAAATAAATAATGGACTTCAGAAAAATTTTAAGTCACATTAGTAAATGATAAGCATGCCGATTGTTTCGCCGTTATTGTTTATTATTAAGAAGTATTAATTAGATTCTTTTTATTTAAAACTTAGAGTAACTAAAAATATCTTGTTTAGGCGTATTAACACGCTTTTTATCACCTTTCGTGTCGTAAAAGAAACTTTTGAGACAACAAAAGGGTCAATTAATTGTTTGAAAAACTCATTCCGATATTCGAATATTAAATTTATATTAATTACCCCTACTTGGTCATAAATTCTTTATTTAAAATCATTTACTTTTGTGCGCGTAGAAACACTGTACAAAAGGATTATGCTTCATTTCATCATTTCACAAGCTAATCAAAAATGAATTAAAATAGAAAGTAATGAATTATTATTATTATTTGTACTCTATTTGCTAAGTTTGTTTTTTTTAGATTAGGTATAGTCTTTCGGATGTCCCTTTATTTACCGGTTTAATTTTATCTATATTGGTCATAAAATCGGACTAATGACATAATATAATTTTATTACATAGCTATCATATTGGTCCGAGTTCAAAATAATTGCCCATATATACTTATTAAAAAATGATTATTGAATAATGAATGAGGAATAGCTCCCTGACGATTATCGGATTTCATTAATCACGTTATTCGTAGCCACATGTACGTCGAACTTGATTTTAGAATAAAAGATTTAAGAAATAAAAATATCTTAAATACGTAGAAAGTATTTATTAAAAAATAATATATTTTAAATTAGACGATTTCTATTGTACACCATGTGTATATACACACATATTGATATCTCAAAATCCTAATTATAAAATAGCTTTTGGGGTTATAACAAAAAATATTTCTTGCATAAACTATAACCTCCAACGTTAAAGTTAACCCCTAACCCTAAGCTATCCTAATTTTTTGTTTCGTAATTTATATGTAACACGAATTTGTAATCAATAAATAAGTATATATATATGTATATATACTGCATGTGTATACGTATACGCTATAAATTATATATTAGTTATATATATGGTATTAAATTTAGAAAAATATTAAATATAGTATTAGTTGATATTAAAGAGTAAGAGTAAAAAAAAAGATAAACAAATTCTTAGTAACGTAATTAAGTTATATATAATATGTATAGGACTAGACTAGTATTAAACTAGTCAGTGTCCCATGCATTTTGTTTCCTCTATTATAAAATTGCTAATATCTCAAAATTTTACTAGGGTAACTAAGCAAAAATGTTTCTCTCACAATTTTACACTACTCTAACCCTAAACCCTAACCCTAACCCAACTCTAATTTTTATAGTAGGCTTAATTTTGCTATAAAAGCACAAAGTATACAGAATACTGTCTAGATTTTTCTATATAAAATTTTAAATAAATATAAAATTTGATTGGCTAATAGGTGTCAGATGTAGGTAGGTGGAGTAGCCTATTAGTGAAGATAAATTAGCTAATTTCTGGAAGTCTTCTTATCAATATTTTTATTTAGTTTTAATTTGATTATTTCTTCAAAAAAATTTTATATAAGATTCAGTTTATTTAGTAAATATGATATTAAGTTGTAAAAGTATTTTAGAAAGTTTATTATCAAAAAAAACTTTTTCAAAGAAAATAAGCTCAAGTATTTTTCTTTTTTCTTTAATAGTTAAATGTTTTGATATATTATACAAACAAAACTATTTTTAGATAGTTGCTTTTTATTTTTTTTTAATTTTAGTATTAGACTTGTCTATTTTTAGCAAATTTTGCTATTTATAGATTACAACATTATGTGTCTAGTATCTTTTTATATCTTTAGTTTCAGTTTTATAAATATCCTGTTTCAAAATTTTATAAAGACAATCAATACCTTTATCATAGCATAAAAATAAATATTTAAAGCCTGCTTTATTAAGTTCCGAAGTATTAAGAAAAAGTTCATATAATAAATTAAATTGAGAAATGTATTTAATAAATTAGATATAAGTTTTTAAAAAAATCTTTTCATGACTTTGTTGTTTTTTCTTTTTTTAATATAAAGCTTATTACTAAAATATTCAAATATTAGCAACTCTAATTGCTTTTTTTTTGCTTGCATAAAAGATATTTGTAATCTTAATTCTTTAATAGTTAATCATCTTCTATTAATATTTTGTTTAATAAATTAGACACTAAATTTTTCTAATTCTTTATCAAATCCAAAGTAATAATTTTTATATATAAGATTATTTAAACATATATATTTAAGAAGTTTCTGAAAGTTAATATTTCTTTCAATATAAGACAAAAAAAAATAACAAATCTAATATAATTGTGTTTTTTTACTGCAGGAAAAAATGACAAAAAAACAGCAAGATTTTTAAATTGTATATTAAAATTGTCTTTTCTAATTCTAATTTTAACTGCAACTCAAATTAGTTTTAATATTTAACAAGTTGCAGAATAATTGACTACTTTTTCTAATTTATCAAGATAAAATATGCCTAATTGAGCAGCTAAACCAAAATTACTATAACCTGAAAAAAATATAAATAGTATACTATATATATCTTTTGATATATACTATTACTCTAATACTAATTTAACCTGTGAATTATTATCTTTATAAGATATTAAATATTTAAATATAGCCTTATTACAAATAATATCAATATGATTTATATTTTCTAGTTAGATATTATTAAAATATATTGCACAACTTAATATATATTTGTATTGCAATTAGCAGGTCTTAATATAACAATATTTAGAAGTGGTATTTAATATTCAAGTGATATATTTTTTTAATTTCATTATGTATATCTTTGATATCCCAATTATTTAGTTTTGTTTCTAAAAGTTAAACAAAAATACTTTTATAAAGGTTTAATAAATTGTTGATAAATAATAATTCATCAAATAAGGGTTATATTATGTTTTTATTATTGTTTGTAGCATCTTGAGAAATAATAGTCTTAATTAAGCTTGAAAGAATAAACTGAAAAATTATTCTTATAGTAATATAAAATATAACTCATAAACTATTATATATATTTCTATATAAAAATGTTTTTTTAATAAAATCTATATTATTTATATAACACAAATATTTTATATATTTTCTTTTTTAATTAATTTGTCTTTAAACTTTAATTTACTTAACTAAATTTTTTTTAATTGATATTCATAAAGTTGACTATGAAAAATAATATCTGCTAAATAAAAAATTGTATATAAAAAAGATATTATTTTAGGTTTATGACTTAGTAAACTTAAAATATAATAAAATCACAAATTTGTAGAAGATGAAACAATATTTATAATTATAAAAGTGAAAAAATTAAAATCTTTATAGTATAAGATTTATCAAAATTAAAAATTAGTAAATTGTGGTTTGCTCTTTTGTAGCTATTAGCTTTGTGTTTTTATATATATAAAGTAATAATTAATTATATTAGGTAAATAGAATCTATTCTAAGTTTGAAGGACTAAATATAAATTTTAAATTTAATTTATACTATATTATATATAAATTTATACAGTATTTAAAATAGTTTGTTTTTGCAATAAAATCAGCTTTTTTTTTCTTTTTATATATTACATGTCAGTTTGTTTTTTATATTATACCTGATCTAGCCAATAAACATTAGTTTCAGTTGTTTTTTTTAAATCTTTTGTATTACACCTAATCTAGCCAATCAGGTTTTAAAATTTGTTAACACATGAACATCAGGTGTACTATTGACCTACCCAGTAGTGTCCTTCAGACAATAAAAAAAAAATTAAAAAAGATAAAAATCTACTATAATAATCTTCTAATAATAATTGTGATTTAAGTTTGGATTTGTTTTAATATATAAGAGATTTAAACTTTCAAACTGCAATATTTAATTGCTTACTAATGTTTTTTAAAGTTTTGAAATAAATTCAAACCTTTTATTAGAATATATAAAAAAATCTATTTATTTAATTTTAAGTACTATTTTAAGAAAAAAAATATATATAGGCTCTATAAAATATTGTGTTTCTTTGTTAAATATTACAAGTTTTGTTAATAACTAGGCTAATAATTTTTTTGTAATAGTTTG